CTACAGATGTGCCAAGGCAGGCCAGGGGAAAGCCTGAGGCTATTTTACTCTGACTTTTCACAGTACTGTACAGCCTTACTCTGACAACTATTTCCACAAATACAATGAGACTGAGGCATCTGTGGAACTTAACACTACTGGTCAGCAAGAAAAAGAATCCTGACATTTCGTATGAAATGAAGGCAAATAGTGAAATGCAGCCTCTTAGCCTATGCATGTAAGGCAATGACTATAAATGGTTTTTATTTAATAAAAACTGTATCTATCTTCCAGCCCACAAGAAAGGTTAAAAGTTGGAGTTAGGCCAGGTGCTGGTGGGTTATGCCTATAATCCTAATCTACTCAGGAGGCTGAGATCTGAGGATCAAGGGTCCAAACCAGGTCAGGCAGTTAAGTTCTTGAGACTTTCATCTCCGATGAACCACCAAAAATCTAGAAGTAGAACTGTAGCCTTGAGTGAAAAAGATATAGGACAATGTGTAGACCCTGAGTTCCAGCTCCAAGATCAGCATTAAATTTATTTTTCTTTTCTTAAAATTGGAGTTAGTTACTGCCATACTCTTAATCTGTTCCTCAGATTCACATGTGGAACCATAATTGTCCGTGTGACAATATTAAGTGGTAGGATCTTTAGGGGGTGATTGAGTGGCAAGCCTAGAGAGCCCTCCTGGATGAAATCATTACCTTATAAAGGGACTAGAGCAAGGCTTTACCTTAGCCTCTTCATCTACCCTGGAGGATGGCAACAGGGCACCATCTTGGACTCTTCATGGCATGATCTCACCACACTGAGCTTGTCACTCGAGGCCAGGTGATTTATGAAGGGGGCATAACTCAAGTTCAGGGAAATAGAGTTGCTGCTAATGTTGAGTTCTTTTGTGGCTTCTTTCATCGTATTTTAGGATCACTTAGCCACCAAACATTGGAATCTATGTGGTTTTATATAATTTTTTTTTGTTGTTGTTCACGGGGCTTGAACTCTGGGCCTGGGCACTGCCCCTGAGTTCTTCAGCTCAAGGTGAGCACTCTACCACTTGAGCCACAATGCCACTTCCAGTTTTCTTGTGGTAGTTGAAGGTAAGAGTTTCATGGCCTTTCCTTTCCCTAGCTGGCTTTGAACTGTGATCCTCAGAGCTCAGCCTCCTGAGTTCAGGCATGAGCCACCAGAGCGCAGCTATATAATTTTTTTAAATCACTTAGCTCTTCTCAAATTTACTTGGAGAGTGATTTTAAAATCATTCCTGAGACAAGGTCTGCTACATAGCCCAGGCTGATCTGGAACTTGCCAGTTTCTTCTTAGTCTCTTGATTGCTGGGATTATAGATATGCACTACCACACCTGACTTTTCTTAAAGTCATTTCTGACTGAAATATGTAACAGGATTTGCTTAAGTGGTCCACATAACAACGTTTGCAAACTATAAGTGTTTACCATTTTAATATCCGCCCTTTAACCACTTGAACTCACCACAGTTTAATCAGCTCTTCCCTTTTTTTCCTCATGATTTCTGTGTCTTTCAAACTCAATGTTTGCCTGTGGACAAATCACTTTTGCTGGTTATTATGGAATATAAACAGCCTTTAGGAACAGATGTGTGTCTAGTTTCTAGAAGGTATTTTGGTGACTACGGGTAGGTTAGGAGAAAATATGGTGGACTGGGGAGCATTTTTTTTTTCAGGTCCTGTGGTTCCTGAGATATATCCCCAGCAGATGGCAAATCCAGGCATACTCAAGTGCCTTGTATAAAAGGGTGCAGTAGTTGCAAGTAACCTTTAAACACTTTAAATATCTCTACATCCTTGTAACACCCAACACAATGTAAATGCTGCATAGATAATTGTTACTGTTCTTGTTGTTACTCCAAATTATACAATGTCTACACATGTTCAGAGAAGACACAACCATGGTAAAGTCTAACTACATTGTTGCTAAGTGTGGTATATGCTGATCATTTGCAAAGCTACCCCGTCCCCCTTGGGGTTAGTGACAGTGGCCCACCTTCTAGAGGTGATATGCTGCTCCTGGCTTCACCAGTGTGGTGGAGGGGTCCTTGGTAGGGTGATGATGTCACTTCTGGGATGGGGAGGTGCGGGGGAGAGGCTCACACATCATCTTCTGGAAGATTGAGTTCTGAGTTCTGAGCCGGTGACCAAGTTAAAATCCAGTGTGATTCAAACATCCAAACTCTTCCTAGATAAAAGTAGGCCTAGAAATCCCCAAAGGGGCCAATCCATCCCCTTCCCCCCACACACACCTTCTCACAGAACTATTGAGGGTGTGCCATTTTACAAATCCAGCTTCCAGTCTTGTCTTCTATCATCCTAATTCCTTCTTAACACGAATGCATGGTGTCACTTGTATCTTTCTTTTCCTATTCTGACTGTGGTAATAGCTTCACTGTTTTAAGAAAAGATGAGTAAATACAATGTCTCTGGTTCTGTCTTCCTCTAGTTAGGGACCAACTCTCTATTTATGACATCAGGATGTCCGGATGCTACCTTAGTACACCATGTGAACTGTTTTCTCTCTGCCTTAGTAAATAGAGACTGCTTCCACTTAGCTTTACCTCCTCGTAATTCTCTTAACTATTCTAAGAGGTTTTTTTTTCTTTTCGATGGGGTGTTACTGTGTAGCCAGACTGTGAATTCAAGATCTTCCTACCTCAGCCTCCTGAGTGCTGAGGTTACAGTTGTGAACTACGCAACCTAAAACTTTGCCAGCATAGATTTGTTCTTTCCTAAACACAATTCTTATTCTTTGATCTGTATCTTCTCTTCCATTTTTTCTACTGTATCCTGTCTCTCTCCCTACATCTCCACTCTACTCAAAGTCTCTCTTCCTAGTGGGTTTTCCTTTTGACTTCTAAGTTCCTTCAACACACAAGTCCACTCTATACTTCTGACATGACAACACATGGTCTGGGATTCTTCACTCTCTACAGCAAGTTGAAACACAAAAAATAGACAATATTTTTTAACCTACAAAGGCAGCAACTGGATATAGTTTGCCCTATTATAAGCCTCTTCTTATCCAAATAAAAATTTGCTTTGAATTTCTATTGTCTACAAGAACCCCACATACTGTGGGATAGACCTTGAATATTTTTAAGTTGGAAACCCAGTAAATAAGCTTCCATTTTACTTCAAAGGTTGATTGTGATCCATTAGCACCCTCACCGTGGCCCACCTGAGACTATCTGGAACTTTCCGTGGTCTGTCTATGACTTCTACTACAAGATTGTCTTACCTCCGTCTAGGATAGAAATAGAAAACCTGGAGGTATGAGAAGTTAGGGCTATAGGCATTGATTTGTAAATATTATAGAGTATTTAATAGATTCTATATTTCAAAAAGGATCACAGGCTCGACAAGAAATGTATTTATGGGCTGGGAAAGTGGCTCAGTAATAGAGTGCTTGCCTAGCATGCATGAGGCCCTGGGCCCAATTCCTCAGCACCACATAAGCAGAAAAAGCTGGAAGTGGCTCAAGTGATAGAGTGCTAGCCTTGAGCTGAAGAGCTGAGGTATAGTGCCCAGGCCCAGAGTTCAGGCTCCATGACCAACCAAAAAAAAAAAAAGAAAGAAAGAAAGAAAGAAAGAAATGTACTCATTATCTTACTCATGTAACTGTAACCCCTCTGTAAGCATCTTTACAATAAAATAAAATTTTAAAAAAGATCACAGAATTTTCATCAGTAAATTCTATGTTCAATAGAATGTATTTCATATTATGTCATTATACAATCCAGAATAGAACATAACTGCACTTTTGTCTAGTGACATTGTATCGATTCTCTCTCTCTCTCTCTTCTTTACTATGGCCTTAATTCTATACATAGTTACATTAATTAGTAGGAGTTAACTGAAACTGGATTAAAAAAAATCTTGTGAGAAAATGAATATAATTTAAAAGCTAAGAGACATAAGGCATTTGATACTTTATTTCAAAAACAAAAGTATTAAAAATAGCATGATGATTATTGAACAGAACTCAGTATCTGTATTTTGATGATACTGGTGGTGGTTTTTTGGTTTTAGTTTTGGATGTGTGGTTTTTTTTGCCAGGACTGGGGCTTGATCTTGGGGCCTAGGTACTATCCTTGAGCTCTTTTGCTCAAGGCTAGCACTCTACCACTTTGAGCCACAGCTCTACTACAGGATTTCTGGTACTTAATTGGAAATGAGTTTCACAGGTCTTTTCTGCCCAGGCTGGCTTTGAACCACCATCCTCAGATCTTAGCCTCCTGAGTAGGATTATAGGCATGAGCCACCTGTGCCCAGTTATACTGTGTTTGATCTCTGAGCTTCATGCCTGTGGGCAAGTGCTCTGCCACCTGAATTACAACCCAGATCTTCTTTAATTTTAGTTATTTTTTCAGGTAGGATCTTGAATTTTCACTTGGGGCTAATAATCCTTCTACATACTGCTGCATAGCTAGAATCCCAGACATGTATCATCATGCCCAGCTTGATCTTTCTAATCCCACTCCCCAAGGAGTTGGAATTATAAACATGTGCCACCATGACTTGTTTCATGAACTATTAGAACATGCAAAAGACTTTATGAAGCTAGATAACCATCTATTTTAGGAAGACAAAATAAATGAACTTCATTTTTTGTTGATTCCAATTTGCACTTATCATTGATGAGCCATTGAAAACAAACTTTAGTTCCCCTATCTTTTTAATCTTTAGATTTACATAGAGTACTACAGTAGTGTTGATTAATATAATTTACCTTAATGTCAGAAAAAGAGTAAAAAAAGCCAAGACATTTCCTCATGGTAGGAAGCCTAACTCCAACACCCAAGCTGTTGTGCTGTCATGAGACAGCAAGCCTTACAAAATAAATTTATTTATTTATTTTGGGTTTGGTCGTGGGGCCTGAACTCTGGGCCTGGGCGCTGTCCCTCAGCTCTTCAGCTCAAGGCTAGCGCTCTACCACTTGAGCCACAGTGCCACTTCTGGCTTTTTTTTTCTGCTTATGTGGTGCTGAGGAATCGAACCCAGGGCCTCATGCATGCAAGGCAAGCGCTCTACCACTGAGCCACCTTCCCAGGCCCCAGAATGTTATTTTTAAGGTGAGACTTTTCTTCAAAGATCTTCTTCCTTTATGGTCCCAAAAACACAGTCATCATCAGCTCTCTTAATCTTGCTCTTTCTTGATAGAAAACTAGAATTGTTTTTCTGCTGGGAAGTAAACAGAGAGGTGAAATGTAAGGGAAAAGAAAAAGTTCTATAATAACATAACAAAAACTTCAAGAAAATTACAACAGTGTTAAAAAAGACAACAGGGCTGGGCACTGGTGGCCTATGCCTGCAAATCCTAGCTACTCAGGAGGCTGAGATCTGAGGATCACAGTCCCAAGCCAACCCAAGCCAGGAAAGTACATGAGATTCATACCTCCAACTAACCACCAAAGAGCCAGAAGCACAGCTATGGCCCAAGAGGTAGAGCATTAGCTTTGACCATAAAACATTCAAGGACAGCATACAGGCCCTGAGTTCAAACCCCAGTACTGGGACACACACACACACACACACACACACACACACACACAGACACCAAGGAAAAAAGAAAAGTTACATCCATTTAAGCAATGGTTTTAAAAATGACTTTATAGAAAATGTATTTAGGAATAGTACCTATCTGTTAGGGATTAGAAAAGGGCCCCTGCTGGCATGTGGAGGACATCATGAATGGACCTGTGCTGGCTCAGGGTTGTCATCCAGGTAACACTATGCCTGTCTTGCCCCTTCCACCCCCACTTTGTATGGTTCCTGGAGCCCATATTACATATAACCTAAAACATGTAACATATACTCAAATCTACAAGCTAGAGAGAGGATTTTTTTTAAATGCAAGTGCTGGACCCAGTGGCTCACACCTGTAAGCCTAACTACTAAGGAGATCAGGAGGATATAGTTTGAGGCCAGTCCCATCTATAGATTTGCAAGTGGCACACGCCTATCATCCTTGCAACAGTGGGAAGCACAAGTAGAAGATCAAGGTCTAGACTAGGGCAGATAATAACTGAAACCTCATCTCAACAAGATCCAAAACAGTCTAGAGGCATGGCTCAAGCAATACAGCTGCTGCCTAGCAAGCATGAATCCTTGATTTCAAACTCTAGCACTGCCACCTCTCTTCCCTCCCCCCAAAAAGCATATGGCATAGAGGAAAATCACCAAAGAATTTGTGTCCCACTTGGAAAATTCTGCTGTGAAAATTCCTTTGCCCATTCTGGATGCTATAGGAAAAAACTGTACTTCTGTGAGGCCTACTCTGTTCTAGGAAACTTCTAGGAAACAGAATTCTGTCTTCTTTTCTAAATAGAATGGTTTTAGTTAAAGGGAGAGAAAGGCAAACTTATCAAAAATAGAATATAGCAACCATGTAATTTTAGTCACAGACCTGGCTTTGTTGAACCTGGTGTCTTTTACTTTTGCCTTGTTCTGGAACTTCAATCTGCTAAATAGATTAGTAACATGTCAGTTCACACAGCCTGGATATTCAAACATAAATAACCGATTTAAGTAGCACCTGCCCTGCCACACACACACACACACACACACACACTAATCCTTTTAATAGTTCCTCCTGCTGTAGGTCAGGAGGTGTATCCAGTGTTATCTGCCCATCCCCACTTCTTTTGCCAGAGTCTTGGTGTTAGAAACATTGTATCTCCCAAAAGTGAAGCGAAACTTCATGCTTAACATCCATGGCTACCTATGGATTTTGCAATTTACCACAGCTTTTAAAAGACTTTGCACAAAATGAAATGCACTTCTAAATCCTGAGATAATCCAAAGAGCTCCAATCCATATACTGAATCAAAGCCAAATGGAGCCTGTGTAATCAAAGGCTCCATTAATCAAATGAAGACTCAAATTGAACTTCAAGACACTTGACTGTGCTTAAGATACCCATCAGGGGGCCTGGCAGATGGCACATTCCCTGAGGGAACTGAGGATAAAGTTTGTAGAGACAGAGGAGGAGGCAGTGTTGGGAATTGAACTCAGGGCCTTGTGAATATTAGAAATGTTACTGTCCAGACACATCCCAGCCATTGGCTTTTGAGACAGAATTTCACTATGTAGCCAAGCTGACCTTGAACTCATGAGCTTCCTGCTTCCCAAGTGCTGGAGTTACAGGTGTGTACCATCATGTCTGGCTCTATATAGAGGATTTTGGTTTTGGTTTTGGTTTTTGGTTTTTGGGTGTTTTTTTTAACAGTCCTGAGGCTTAAAAGGGCCTGCACACTGTCCCTGAGCTTCATTTGCACAAGGCTAATACTCTACTACTTGAGCCACAGTGCCATTTCCATTTCTGAGTGGTATTGAGGAATTGAACCCAGGGCTTCATGCATGCTAGGCAAGCACTCCACTACGAAGCCATATTTCCATTTATTTGTTTATTTTTTTGTTTTGTCTAGGGCTTGAAATCTGGGCCTGGGCACTGTCTCTTAACTCTTCAGCTCAAGGTGAGCGCTCTACCACTTGAGCCATAGTGCCACTTCCAGTTTTCTGGTGGTGTATTGGAGATGAGTCCCTGTTTTCACTGAATTTGATTCTGGTGCCCTGCATCTTTTGTATACATTTTTCTAATTTGAGGAGGTTAAGGGAAATAATAAAATGCTTAAATAAGGAGACAGGTTGATCCTTTGTAACAATGAGATGTACAAGACACTATGTTGCAAACGAACTTTACAACTTGGGGGAATGGGGAGGGAGGAGTTGGAGAGGTGGGGAGCGAAGGGATGGTAGGGGAAAAACAAATGCTCAATAGGAAATGTACTCATTATCTTACTCATGTAACTGTAACCCCTCTGTACAATATTTTTACATTAAAAACCATATGTATGTGTGTATATATGTAGATAAAGAGAGAGAGAGAGAGAGAGAGAGGTGGGGAGAGAGAAGGAGAGAGAGAGTCACAGACTTTCCTGTCTTGGCTGGCTTCAATCCTCAATCTCAGCCTCCTGAGTAGCTAAGATTACAGGCATGAGCCACCTGTTCTCAGCCCTTGTTTTGTTTTTAAAGACCTAATTAAATTGACTCTGGTGGAGGGAAGGGTAGTATTAAAGCAAATGAATGAAAAGATGTAGGGCCCCAGGGACTGCAGGGAGGGAAGGGTGGAGGAATTCTGTAGGATCTCTGTGTACAAGGGGTGGGGTGGGGGGGTTGAAGACAAATGTTACACTCCACCCCAACCCCCAGTTTGTGATTAATATTGCCTTTAAAAATTTAACATGAGGGCTGGGAAGGTGGCTCAGTGGTAGAGTGCTTGCCTTGCATGCCTGAGGCCCTGGGTTCAATTCCTCAGCACCCCATAAGTAAAAAGAAAAAAAGCCGGAAGTGGCGCTGTGACTCAAGTGGTAGAGCGCTAGCCTTGAGCTGAAGAGCTGAGAGACAGTGCCCAGGCCCAGAGTTCAGGCCCCACAACCGGACCCCCAAAAAAATTTTTTTAACATGAGCTGACCACTGGTTGCTCATGCCTGTAATCCTAGCTACTTAGGGGACTGAAATCTAAGGATCATAGTTTGAAACCAGTCTGTCAGAAAAGTCCCCACAACCCTTATCTCCAATTAACTAGCAAAAAGCCAAAAGTAAATCTATGACTCAAGTGGTAGAGTACCAGCCTTAAGCGAAAAAGCTAAGGGACAGTGTCCAGACCCTGAGTTCAAGCCCTAGGACTGGCATGCACACAAAAAAGAATTTAACATGGGATTTGTGGTGGTGGTGATGGTGCTTTTACATTATGCTTTTTTTTTTTTTTGCCAGTCCTGAGGCTTGAACTCAGGGCCTAGGCTCTGTCCCTGAGCCTCCCTGTGCTTAAGGTTAGTGCTCTACACCTGAGCCACAGCACTACTTCTGGCTTTTTCTGTTTATGTGGTACTGAGGAATAGACCCCAAGGCTTCATGTGTTTTAGGCAGACATTCTACCACTGAGCCACATTCCTAGCCCCTACATTATTTTTTACTGAGTTTGTTCAGCTCAAGTTCTAATAGTATCTTCATAAACAAGTCTTACCCATGAAAGCACTGCCTAGGGCTAACTAGGCCAATTAATTTGAAGTGAGCAGTAAATTTCTTCTTCCTCTCACTCCATCTTAATAAGAAAATCCAGTGCTATTTAATCTGCTTCGAGGGACCATCAACTTTATTTATGAGGCTCATTTGGTTATGGTTTCCTCTGGCTCTCCCCCTTGCCCCCAGATTCTTCAAAACTGTGAAAAGCTTAGACTAGGCTAGAGCCTACCTCCCTGTCTTGGTCTATACAAGGCCTCTCTAAGTGACAGATGCCAGTCCACTTTGCAACTTTGCCAAGAAAGCAATGGGATGTCTCCATCTGATATGTATTTATTTATTTATTCATTTATTTATTTATTTATTTTGGGGGTCCGGTCGTGGGGCCTGAACTCTGGGCCTGGGCACTGTCCTTCAGCCCTTCAGCTCACGGCTAGCACTCTACCACTTGAGCCACAGTGCCACTTCCGGCTTTTTTCTTTTTGCTTATGTGGTGCTGAGGAATCGAACCAGGGCCTCAGGCATGCAAGGCAAGTGCTCTACCTCTGAGCCACCTTCCCAGCCCTTCATCTGATATTTATATGACTATGTGAAGCCATGGAGTCACTGTAGACCATTGTTCTCTCTGAGGAAGCCCAGAACTCAGCTGGCCACCTGCCTCTCTACTTTCCCCAGGGCTCTGTAGACAAAATTCTAGCCTGAAATGCAAACTAGCCCTAAAATCTGCTCTTACAAACCTAGTTTTCAAGAGAAAAATTCTGTTCTAAGAACAAAAATAAGAAATCATTTGTGGAAATAAAGGTTGACTATTAGGCTAAAGCAACCCGAGAGTATTGATGGGTATGTTTGATTTTGCCATTAGTCACAGCCATAAAGGGTTGATTTCAGTTCCTGCTGTTTTTCCTGAGAACTTTAAATGGATTATTGCCTCCTCTGTTTTGTTGAGTGAACTCTTTAGCTATTCACCGTACAAGTATTTCCTGCATTGAATAGCTTACATTTGATTCATTCATGGTTGAGGGCTCTTCTCCCTTTTAAGGAAGCTACTTCAGCTAATTACTTTTCTCTTTTTCCTTTTTTATATACATGATCATCATCAAAGCCTAAGTGGGGTCCATCCTGCCTAAGAGGCTGGATTTTATTACTTGTGTAGAAATAGTCTCCTTCATTGACTATTCTGTAGTCCATTTTTAATCACAAGAGACAGTGAATTTATTTTCTCTATAAAGATACTTTTGATTCCAGAAGGGGAAAAAAGATGTGAAAGTCAAATAAAGCTGAATGTTAACCCATCCTCTTATAAAGCACTATATTTACATTAAAAAGTTACAGAAGGTTTCCAAATAGTTGGTTATAGATTTAAAAATTGGTGTAATAGTCTGTAAAAGAATTAAGCTTACGGGGGCTGGGAAGGTGGCTCAGTGGTAGAGCGCTTGTCTTGCATGCTCAAGGCCCTGGGTTCCATTCCTCAGCACCACATAAGCAGAAAGAAAAAAGCCGGAAGTGGCACTGTGGCTCAAAGTGGTAGAGCGCTAGCCTTGAGCTGAAGAGCTGAGGGACAGCGCCCAGGCTCAGAGTTCAGGCCCCACGACCGGACCAAAAAAAAAAAAAAGAATTAAGCTTACGAATGTCACTCAAACATATGGTACTGCCATATTTGTGATATGTGTAGGCTCTGAGGAGAGGCTAAGAATGGGTGAAAGCTTCAGTAAGTTCTGCTTTAGTGTCTGACCACCAATCCTTTCGGTGCATTGTTACATCTTTGATACATAAATGTACACTACAAAAATAGAATTCACATTGACAAAAAATAATCGCTTTGACAGTTTCTTTTACTCTATGGTTTCCTGTTTGGCACACCACAAGTATCAAGAGGCTACGAATGCTATCTAGAAGAAAACTCTGGAGCTAATTTGATATCATCTTCACTATATTAAAGAGCCCCTCAAGATTTTGACTTCAGATACACTTTTCTGACTAACCAGAAACCCTCATTTAGGAAAAATGAAAGAGTGATGGTATACAACTGGGCTCATGCCTGTAATCTGAACTACTCAGAAAAATCGAGGTTCAGAGCCAACCAGGGCAGATAAATGCAAAAAACTCATTAGCCAGCAAAAAGCAGGAAGTGGAGCTATGGTGTACGTAGTAGAGCACTAGCCTTGAGAAAAAGCCAGGTGAGATCCCAAAACACTGAGTTCAAGCCCCAGTTGAATGAAAAAAAAAAAAAAAACGCAAAAGCAAAAAGCGTTGTAGAATTCTACAGGCCGTAGAAAGTTATAGAGTTCTCAGTAGTCCAAAGATAAGTACTCCTCAGAAAAACACTTTCATTCTAAAGACAGAAGTCCCTCCACCATGCTGTTCTGAATACAACACCAGAGGTGTCCTCCTCAAGGACCAGACCTGCTGGCCTGGACTTCTGAGGGACAGCCTGGTGTGCAGATGCTGGCTGATAATGGAGACTTGGAATGGAAAATGTATACAAATGAGGACACTTACCATTTCTGGATTCTCAGCAGCCAGCTTTACCTTCTTCTCTGATATCATCTTTTTCAAGCAGCTACTTAGCAGAAAAGCCTAAGAAATCCAGAAATAACACTCAAGCTATTGCCATTCCTACCTTCCCTCTCACACCAAGTAGAGTTGGCACTTTGCTTAAAATCTAATAGCATCCTTTTAAGAATTCACATTTCTTTAACTTCCAGAAACTAGCATAAAATGCAATAGTAAGTAAATTCTCTCAATTACATGAATGTATTTACAATGAAATCTAAAGACAGATGAAAAATGCCCTGACTCTCACTACTAATCTTCTTTCTCTTAAAACTCCAGAATACATCTGGGCACTGGTGGCTCATGCCTGTAATCCTAGCTATCAGGAGGCTGACTGAGGATTGCAGTTCAACGCCAACCTGGGCAGGAAAGTACATGAAACTTTTATCTCCAATTAACCACCAAAAAGCTGGAAGTGGAACTGTGGCTCCAGTGGTAGGGTGCTAGCCTTTAGCAAAATAAAAACAAAAAACCCAAGGACAGGGTCTAGGCTCTGAGTTCAAGTCTCAGGACTCACTCTCTCTCTCCTCTCTTTCTCTCTCTCTCTCTCTCTCTCTCTCTCACACACACACACAAACACACACACACACACACACACACACACACACACACAACTTCCCTGCTTACATCCAGTTTTCTATGGTTTTGTAAGCAGACCATTTTATATGAGCAACAAATAACTACCTATTATGGTAACCACATCAACTGATCATGGTGAATCCCACACTGAATTGCATGATTTTTTAAGCCCCATTATTAGCCATAAATAGTAACCTGTTTGTTTTAAAGAATGCCTCATTACCTTATTCTTTTTACTGAAATTTTAGAAACAGTTGCATTTCTTCACTTTCTTCTTTTCCAGTATCTTAATCAGCCCCCAGCATCACAGCAGCTTGGTTGGTCTAGCTAGTGTCCAGAACTCAACAGTCCACACATTTTGTTACACAGAAGTGGGGAGCTCACTGTCTCGAGATCTGTACCCCATGTGCAAAATTTAAGATTCCCTAGGATATTTTTTTTGTTTTTACTTCTTACCCAGCAATTCTCTTTCTTTTATCGTTTTTTTTTAAATTTTTTGGTCAGTCGTGGGTTTTGAACTCGGCCTGGGTGCTGTCCCTGAGCTCTTCAGCGCAAGGCTATCACTCTACCATTTGAGCCTTGAGACACAGTGCTACTTCTGGCTTTTTCTATTTATGTGGTGCTGAGGAATTGAACTCAGGGCCTCAAGCATTCAAGGCAAGCACTCTACCACTGAGCCACCTTCCCAGCCCTGCTCTTACCTTTTGCTTGATATCTCTCTCCTCTTTTAGAAGTACCTTGTTTGAACATGGGCCTCGTGCTTGGCTAAGCAAGTGCTCCAGCACTTGAGCCATGCCTCTGGTTCTAGTTTCTTCAGTTAAACCTACTAAGATTTGATACAAGGCCCTGGGACCTTCATATAGGCTTGAGAGGAGGGATGATCAGTCTGTTGAAAAAGATGAAGGGGAAAGCGAGATATACAGGTGGTAGCCTCAGAGATGGCAAAATGAGAGAGCCAATGGACAAAGGTAACGTGTCACCATTTTCAGGGATGTATAGCATTACAGGAATGAAATAAATAAATATTTAAGGGGAAAGGAGGAGAGATAGAAAAGGCAGTGTCAGGGGCTGGGAAGGTGGCTCAGTGGTAGAGCGCTTGTCTTGCGTGCCTGAGGCCCTGGGTTCGATTCCTCAGTACCCCATAAGCAAAAAGAAAAAAGCTGGAAGTGGCGCTGTGGCTCAAGTGGTAGAGCGCTAGCCTTGAGCTGAAGAGCTGAGGGACAGTGCCCAGGCCCAGAGTTCAGGCCCCATGAACAGACCCCCCCCCTCCAAAAAAAAAAAGAAAGAAAAGGCAGTGTCACTAACAGGGAAAAGAGTAACATAGCTGGCATGTACAATCCTGGCATTGTTAACAATTAGCCCCGTGCATCTGCACAGTTATGCAAGCCACACACCACCAGAGCAGGAAGCAGCAAGGCAGTACAGTTCTGCACTAATGTGCTTTTTTCCCATACCAAGTAAAAGAACATGGAGCCTAAGACTACTATTAACCAGGTTGGGCTTGTTAAATAGAAAGAACTGAGCTTTTGTTTAAAGAGCTGAGAAAAGATTTGGGTCCCACTGGCCTTCATTTGTATTTGTAAAACACACAGGTCATACCTCTGCCTTTTGCAAAAACAGCCCTTGGGCACGTATCAAGAGAACACACACTCCAAAGGAAAGAAGGTCTTATTAGAAATCCTTTAAAAGAACATTTATTGCCCCTCTCTGTAGTGGTTAAACCCATTTGCTACTGTTTAGATTAAAAGACTGTAATAAAACTGGACCACACTCAGCATTCTGATGAGATGGGTGGGAAAGAGAGGTTGGTTTCACTGCTAAAATCTCTCCCCATCTTCCCAAGTTACTACAGATCTGGGGTTTGGATTCAGCATCTCAAACATTCTAGGCAGATTCTCTGAAAATTGAACTATACTTCCAGCCCTTTTTGCTTTATTTTTTAGATAGTGTCTCATGCTTTTTGCCTGGACCAACACTGGACTTTGATCCTCCTATCTCTACTTCCTGAGTAGCTGAGATTACAAACATCTACCACAATTGGCTTGTTCTTTATTTTCTCTTTCTTCGTTCGTTCTTTTCTACTTTCTTTTTCCCCTCCTTCCTTTCTCTCCTCCCTCCCTCCCTTCCTTCCTGCCTTCTCTTTCCTTCCTTCTCTTTCCTTCCTTTCCTCTCTTTCCTTCCTTCCTTCCTTTCTCTCTCTTCTTTCTTTCCTTCTTTCTTTTTCCGTCTCAATCACTCTCTCTCCTCTCTTCCCTCCCTCCTTCCCTCATTTCTTCCTTCTTCTTTCTTTCCTTCTTTGTTTCTTTCTTCCCTTTCTTTCTTATCTTTAAGTAGTTGTATAAAGAGGTTTTTAACTCAGTGTCAGTTTCTAGTACAATGCAACTTGATCAGTGTCATTCTTTTCATCATTCTCCCCATCTCTCCAAACCCCATTCAAAGCTCATTATTTTTTTTGCCTGAATTGGCCTTGACCTATGTTCTTCCTGTCTCTGCCTCTTGTGTAGCTGGGATTACAGGTGTGAACCACTGCATCTGGAATACACAGACTTTCATGCTCTACTCTTGAGAACTCACCTGCTTGGTGTAAATAACAAACCACTGCCAGCGACTGTCCTCACTGTACTGAAATCTGAGCTCTAAGTTCTGGTTGAGAGTTCGCTGAGGCCCATCCATATCCAGCAGAGTGCCCTACAGAGGAAAAGATATCATTGGAAATTGAAATGCCTGCTAATATGCTGGGCATAATGTCAAAACAAGCAAGACTCCCTGTTCCCAAGAAGGTCTGCTGAGGAGTGTTCTCAGAGGAGCATTCTGGGGTCTAAGGGAGGAATTAGAATGGGCATCTAGCGGGCTGGGAAGGTGGCTCAGTGGTAGAGCGCTTGCCTTGCATGCCTGAGGCCCTGGGTTCAATTCCTCAGCACCACATAAGCAAAAAGGAAAAAGCCAGAAGTGGTGTTGTGGCTCAAGTGGTAGAGCACTAGCCTTGAGCTGAAGAGCTGAGGGACAGCGCCCAGGCCCAGAGTTCAGGCCCCAAGACCAGACCCAAAAAAAAAAAAAAAGAATGGGCATCTAACCCAGGTAAGAAGCAGGAAGGAAGGCTTCCTGGAAGGAGGGACAACTGAGCAGAAGCAGAAGCTGTCCATGCGTGTTTTAGTGGCTCTGCTCGTAGAGGGAAATGAGTGGGATGACTCCTCTAGGAAAAACAGCAGGTACAAATGCACTGAAGCATGAGGAGGCCTGACAGAAACACTGTGAAGGGTAGAGGGTGGCCTCAGCACTCCCTACAAGTCATGGGGGGCTGAAGGAGGAAGTACAGACAGGCAGGATGGGACCAGTCCTAAAGATGGCTAAGAATCACCTGTGATAGTTGCTCTATAGGCTCTCTCCTGATCTCACTGCTACTAATGTAATCTCAAATTCCCTGGGGAAGCCATTCCTCTTCCACAGTAAACTGCATGTAGGACTTGCAGAGAATAAAAGACATGTGATCCAAGCTGAGGCCAACTAGACAAATATTCTCTGTGCCTCTCATTTGATACCAGAGTTGAGAGACCCAGAGCAGGGCCTCCCAACCCTTTCTCTTGAAGCCTTCAATGGCTGGTGCCTGACTTTGTTATGCCTCTGTGTCAGTTACTCCTAGTCCTTCCAATCAGTCCCTTTGTCACAAATCACATGTATTCTCTTCCACTGCTTGCTACCAAAGGGCCCCAACTTTTACAACGGGTCACAAGCTAAGTTCAAGATTCTAGATTGTTTCCTGCAGTCAATGGACATTCATGAAGAGAATTTTTTTAACTAGATAATAATCAGAGTCATATTCTAGAAATCTTTGTCTGAGAGCATGGCTCTAAAAATAAACCAGACAATAGCTGAGAGAAGATCAGCGAATATCAGAAGAAAAACAAATGCCCTATAGACCACAGTGACCCCCAATTAGCCCATGAGGATGGGTGTTTCAGGAAGTGGCACCGAGGAGAAAGAACCCAAACAGAGCTCAGGCACCCCGTGAAACTGAGGAAAAAGAAATAAAAGTCTGAAGAAGTAGAGAGTGGAATTTGTGGGCAGACAGCTGTGAGCTCCAGAGAGCTCTCAACCCTCTGGCTGAACAGGGGGAGCTGTGGAAGTGGGGCGCGTGGACGGTGGTACACAGCTGTGCTGGACTCCCAGAGGCAACGAAGGGAATTGGACCTTCAGTTTTGTACCCTAAACAAGAAATTCACTCAAAACGGATCATAACTTTCAGGGCAAAAATAAGGCAGTAGAAAAACCTTCTGCTCTAGGCTTTGATATACTGTTCTTGGACATCACATGTAATGTACAATGCACAAAAGAAAGGAACTGCTAAAGCAGACCTCATTAAAATTAAAAATTATCACCCTGAAAAGATACTGTGGAAAACTAGAGAAATAGAAAAAGAAAGGCAGGAGGGAGAGAGAAACAGACAGACGGAAAAAGAGAGGGAAAAAGAAAAAGAGAGAAAGAAAATATTTGCAAATTCAGCAGCCAATAAAGATGCACATCTGGAATATACAAAGAATTCTCAAAACTCAGTGGTAAAAACTCAAGTTGGTAAAATTTTGCAATTTCTTTCATCCTTCCTTTCTTCCTTCCCTTCTTCCTTCCTTCC